ACTAAAACGGAATGAGAGCCGCAAGACGTTTTTGAATATTTTATAATTTGTAACAGAAGTCGCCAACTTTTTGATGAGTACATCCAATTAAATGTGAATAATTGAGTTAACGACCGCATTATTTGTAATTGATATCTCGCGAGAAAAATTAATTAAGTACATTCTTTTATTTTCCGGTCTAATTTTCGAAGCTGAGCCGGAGGGGTTGTTACGTATGCAAATGGAATATCTAAGTTACGATACACATCTCATCTCATCTCATAAAGCAAAAGTACATAATATGATTTTATTTTCTTCTCCGTAATCTCGTGTCATATAAAGTTTTGTTATTGCGCGCTTGAGGCTTCCAAATTTAAATAAATTATTAACGGCGCGCATTCATACCGCACGATAAAAACGTACATCGAATTTAATTACAAGTGCACGGGCCGCAATAATCGCGAGCCGTTTCCCGAGCTCTAATCTCGAGTGATGGTATGTGTAGGTCAGTCGAGCCGGTGCCCACTTGACATCTAAAACATTCGACAGGATAACTTAAAAGGTACTGATATCAGTGCGAAGCGGGCTCGTGTCTACAAGCTCACAAAGAGCTTTACGTGGTACTTGCACACTTTATGGGCACGATAGCGTTTCAAGCATTCATTCCCGGTTCGAGCATCATCGCGGGGTCAATACGGTCACACAATAAACGTAAATGATTGTTTCGCGTTCAAATTTATTGCAATTCGTAATAAATAAATAAAATAAATTGCATTCGTATGCAACGATAACTTTAATGGATTCCATAGGCAACTTCAAAATTTGCTGATATATGGAACAGAAAACCTAATTACAATTCCAAATTTTGTTAATTAGAAATTGTAGAACATTTGGATGGCCTTCAAAGCGAATTTGCATACAGAAATTAGAATTTTATGTTTGATTTTATATTTAATTGATCTGGACATTTAAATATTTGTGGCTTTTAATTAATTATATTCTAAATTATTCAAATGTATGTTACATACGAGAAGATATGTGTGTCTACTTGACCTGAACATCAGTACACAGAATTAAAATTAATTGTCATGGTAACAATGATGTTTTATAAGTAAAGTTTAGCATTCAATAGTCAAATTGTGACAAAACCAAGGGAACCCTGTGGAATTCTGGTGTACAACCTCTTGGAATTCATTAAATTCTTATTGAATTCATGGAACTTTACTGGAATTCATGGAATTCTTGTAGAATTCAATCAATTCTTTTGGGATTCATGGAATTCCTTTGGAATTCTAGGCCTTTTTACAAGCTATAAGTTCAGGTTGTGGCGTACTTTGATTTTTATATAATTACCTGAAATTCATTCAACGTTTTTAAAGTGCGCATTTCTTATCGCTGCCTATTGTATGTTTTGTACGGGGCTAAATTCATCTCATCCGTCCCGATACGCTATAATAATAATAATATAATAATAATAATATTTATTTTTGACATTCAGTTGACACTGCTTACCTCCATCTTTTTCAATAATCTGTGATGCCATGGAATTTTTTAATTCAAAAACTACGCCAATATCCGTCATGCCATGGAATGTCTACTATAAAACAAATCAATTTCTATCAAAAAGTATTATATTTAGAACAGCGAATTCAACATAAAGAAAGACCAAATTACTAAAAACGGTTTTCTAATGTAACAATTTATAATAAATGTTTGAATTAGTCACCATTAACTGCAAGACAGTAACCAAGTCGATCATAAAATCCATTTCGAACTGCTGCTAATTGATAACTGGATATCTTTTTGTTTTAAAAAATTCCATGGCATCGCAGATTATTGAAAAAGATGCGGGTTTTATTTTTCCAATTTTCCGTCTTTATTATGCAAAAAATTGAAAACTAATACGGTTGATTGGCGTAAAAATTTTTTTCTACAAAAAACTTTAATACATTATATTTTGGGGAGCCAATAATCGCATGTTATGAATTTTACATTCAAATCCCTATGATGCGTTACGCAAGTCACCACCCTGTATAGTCCAGTCAATTTGTACTTTCTGATTACAAAAGGTCCGGTAGAAGATTTTATTTTTCCGACTTGTTTAAATGGTGAAGAGAGAGAAAAATCCAAGTTTGCCAATTCGACTGACGTCGGGAGAAATTTCTGTGGTCAAAAATCTGCAAAAATTTCTGTTTTTTTTAGATTTTTCTCAAATAACCCGCCAACGGCAATACTTAGGTAAAATCATCCATTATTGAAAACTATAGTGTATAAATGTACCTTCAATTTGATATTTTATTTGGCCCCCTAACATGTATAGTTTAGGAGATACACTAATTTAAAGTGCATTTTTTTAAAAACCGGAATAGTTCTGCAGATATTTGCAATGAAAGTTTCGACATCTCCCATGGACATGCCTCGTCCTGACGTTCCACTTGAACTTTATGAGTGCCCTCTTATGACACTTCGTTTTCAAGATATTCGGTTGGACTTCACCAATAGATATATAGATATATACCAAAAGATATATTTCTTCCAGACGTCCCAATCGCCTTTTGTGAGTACTCTTTCCAGGCAATCCGCTCTTGAGATATAAGTAATTATAAGCGATCACGATAGTTGGTCGAGGAGGAAGACTATGATTGGTAAAAGGTAATTCCTTTCATTGAGTTCATTGTTTAGAGTACCATGAAGGATAAAACATGTCCCCCCTCAACCCCTCAAAAGGCGGGCTGGTGGAAAACAGTTACTTTTTTTCCTTTCATTAGAATACCATGAAGGATAGAACGTGTAACCCCCTCTCTCTCCATCATTTTCAAAATTTTGACATGGCATCGCTAGATGCATGTACATTACAAAATCTGAGACAAATTAGTGGTCCCACATTTCTTTTAATTCTTAAAAAAATGCGCTAAAAATGTTATTGTTTCTAAAAATTACTATAAACACGAAACTTTAAATTAGTGTATCTCCTAAACTATAATACATGTTAGGGGGCCAAATAAAATATCAAATTGAAGGTACTTTTATACACTACAGTTTTTAATAATGGATGATTTTACATAAGTATTATCGTTGGGGAGTTATTTTAAAAAATCCGAAAAAAAGAAAAGAAAATTTTTGCAGATTTTTGACCACAGAAATTTCTCCCGACGTCAGTCGCATTGGCAAACTTGGATTTTTCTCTCTCTTTACTATTTAAACAAGTTTGAAAAATAAAATCTTCTACCGGATCTTTTGTAACCATTCAACATTTTTACGTCTAATTTGACTGGACTTATATTTTTTCCAAGAAAATCTAAAAAAAACTAAAATCTCTACTTTTTCACCCTCCGTAACTCTGTAAAGGTTCACTTTAGGAAGTTTATAAATAACAGCAATTTTGTTTGCAATTTACTATAGATTATTTCTGAATACTATCCTTTTCACTCCAAACCGCATAATTTTTTTTTAATATTTAAGAAAAACTGATAAAAACTACTAATTTTCCAACTTTTCTTCCGCCACCCAATTAAACCCGGCACTTAAAATGGTGCAACTTTTTACTAAACAATATGTGGACTGTATAGCACAACTTCCAGTTGGAGGGAAACTTTTACTTTGGATGTTGAGGTCTAATTGCACTGTACTAATTTATGACCTTTAAAATGATGGCTTTCTCTCTCTTTTCCTCTCTCTTTCCATGGGGGTGCACGTTATAATTTTAAAGTGGGGTTAGCTAATGGTGCGGGGTGAATGCTAAAAATTAAGTAAACCTATGGTTATCCAAAAGCCTGATTACATTTCGCAAGTTTAGTGGCGGACAGAAGTTTCTGCAAGTAAATTTGCCAAGTGTAAATGGGAGAAAAGTGCACTCGCCAGTCACTTGCTACTTGCCCTCAAGCGACAAGTGAAGTTAAGGACTTGGCTAGTGGCCGACTTTGCTGTCTGAACTTGCAAATTTCTGTAGTTTCTAGGGCGTTTTTGGAATTTTTGATTTTTATAAGAATTACAAATTAGAACCGGCAGTGGTTCGTTTTGAAATGAAAGCCCTATATCATTTTCTATACAATACTACTAATAATGCCAAATAAGGTCGAAAAAGAATCGCCACTGACCCTAAAATTGAGGACTAGGGATCGATGATCAATTCCCGAAAAGATATGATTGGGATATGTCAAATTTGAGAATCAAACTGACAACACTGTAAAGGAGCACCTCTCTTATACCAATAATACAAACGTCTCTGTATTGTCCTTATGTTATGATATAATAATAACACTATTTGGATAGTTCAAAACCGCTCTCTTCTCCACTCACACATCAGCAAACACAGTAGGAGACCTGACACCATATTCTAATATTAATAGCAGCCGAAGGTGCGCCCCAGGGCCGGATTTACGTACAAGCAGAACAAGCACGTGCTTGTGGGCCCCCAACCCAAGTCAGTTAAAATGTCGCTTAGAAAAGGTTTTTTGTAAACTTCCGTGTACAGATAGGGGCCCCTTCCCTACCTCGTGCTTGGAGGCCCCGTAAGCTATAAATCCGGCCCTGGTGCGTCCGGCCAACAAAGTGCACAACCAGGCCCAAATGAAGGTCATAAACTTTCTTGGAGATCCACTCCTGAATAACTGATGAATTGAAAAAAACCAAATAAAAAGGTCTCTATTCTATTGTTTCAAAATGCCACACTTTGCGGAGGTTGCACATTTATATTAACGGTGCTGTAACGTAATTCTGCATTGGGAAAAAATTATTCTCCCCCAAAGTGATCCCAGCACATCAAAAATCCACCCCGTTCCACATTGGTTTCATTGTACCTTTTCCATCGTTTATTGAAAATCAATCGGACGCGTGTGGAATTTGAATTTAGATTAAAGACAAAAATGTGGTCAACTTGATAAGCGAATTCGAAAAGAAAGCGTGAATCATTCGATCAGGCCATACGCCTCGCGAGCGAGCAGGTATTAGAAACTTGTTAATTTCAACTGATAAGGCCGAACTTATTTTCGAATGTAGTTGTTTCGTGACCGCGGGCGTTTCCACATGTTAATATCGCGTAGTAAATTATTGTACTTTCTTTTAAAAAAAATCGTTTTGGCGTTGCGATGGTATAAAGCAGACAAGGAAGCCGACCTGGTGAACTCATATAAATAAGGGAACAGCAAGGTACGAAATCTTTTGGTTTTTTTGAAATTGCGCACCGTCATGAGTCATCCACATTTTTACACATGTTCTGGTTATTTTCTCGATCAAAGCAAATTGATCCATTTGATCATGGTCGAAAAACACCCAATAAAAACTCAACGCCTGTTCTTTTTCACGGAAAAAAGTTCAAAAAAAGCATTCCCTCCCAAATTATTACTCCACCTTGTACCAGTGTGGTTTGATCATAATTTTTCTTTAGATTTTTGGGACTCATAAGGTAAAAATATAGATCGATTTACTTAAAATGTGGTCTCAAACGTGAGTCATTTGCTTAGACGCTCGGACATGTGTCATTGAAACGTACTTTTATGGAAAAGAAACCTGTTAATTTAAACTGATAACGTATTAGGTACTTATTTTCGAATGTAATTGTTTCGTGATCGTGGTTGTTTGAATGTATACATCCCTAAAATATGTGGCTTGGTGTTTTTGGACAATGCAAAGGTCTCATAAAGGTACGGAGAGTATTTACGCGCTAGTTTGTGATTCTTTTTTCAATTATAGTGCTTTGCTTTGGTTTATGGCATACGATTGCATCTCGTATTTAATTACGTGCATGCATGATGTAGAGGTTTATTATTTATTTACTCATTTCGTCCAAATGTAAAATGATGAAGTGGTGCTGTAACTGTGGTTCACTATCCGTGTTGGACTAGATCGTCAGTCTAATGAGTCATATAGTCGTAACGTAAGTTTAAAAGTATTTGGAACAAGGGTTTATTTGTTAAGTAATACTAGTTTTTTGAGCAAATTTCATTCAAATACCACATTGTAATTCAGTAATTAATTTTTAAACAAGTTAACAAGATCCTACCCTGAATAAGTTCATTTAAAATTGAAACTGTAAAAGAATGTCAAGTTAGGTTTTCAGGGGGACACATTTCTGCCTAAAAATTAATCCTCTCCCTTTTAACCACCGCCGCCCCATAACGACCCTCATGTCAAAAATGTTGTCACATCTTATTTGGAATGTCTTTCAATTTTGTGCCTAACCCTTTAGTATTTTTCCCACCCGCACGTTGGAAAGGTAGAAAAATACCCCCCCCCCCATGCTTTTTAACGTTTTGAAGCACCGGGAATCCGGATCAAACAAAATCATAACTTCTGGCGTTCTTGTCAGCCTGTTTGTACTCTCATTTTCGACTAAATGGGTAGAATCGTGTCAAAGTAACAAAAAACTGTCCATTTTTGAGGTTTTTCCATATTATGCCAAAACTATTGCAGCGTTCTCGGGTGGTATCTGTGCTAGCCACAGCAAATTGTTTACCTTATAACGATATTCGATAAGCAATACTAGAAGAAATAAAACCCCCTTCTAAGTTTGTATTCAACTCCGAAATGGGTCAACCATTTGAAATTTTTGAAATGTGGGTTGTTATGGGGCGGGGGTGACTGGCAAGGGTTTCATTTTACTGTAGAAATGTGTCGCCCCGAAAACTAATGTGTCACGAGTTTTTTACCATCTCAATATTAAATCACTCACTTTAAGTGTAGTGCACGGTGTTTTTCGAGTGCCACTATGGGGGGGTCCGTTAACTTGGCTCCCCCACTGAGAGATTTGATAGTCGTATTATTTTGAAATGAATGCGCTCGTTATGCGCTCATATGCGCCACCGATAATAACTCTTGCGCCATTATCGTTTTTTAGAAATCCGAAAAAACATTTGGGGGGGCCAAGTGAACGTAGCCCCCCCCAGTGCGTATTTTGTCCCTTGTAACTAGGTCACCTGATACACTTGGTTATGTGCTCAATTGCGCCACTTGAATTAAAGCTAGCGCCATTACGGTTAAGCCGTGACAAATTTTCAAAAAGTGGGGGGGCCAACTTAACGTTTTTAAAAGTTACTTTTTTTTAACTTGTTTTCATACGAAATTGTACTCTCAGGTATGCGCTGAAATGCGCCGTAAAAAGATATCTTTGCGCCATTATTGTTTTTTGGTTATCCTTAAATATATTTGGGGGGGGCCAAGTGAACGGAATCCCCCATAACGCATTTTGCTACCGGTATTTGTGCCACTTGATACATCTGGTTATGAGCTTAATTGCGCCACTTGAATTAAAACTAGCGCCAATACGGTTAAGCCATAAAAAATTTTTAAAAAGTGGAGGGTCTAACTTAGCGTTTTCAAAAGTTATTTCCGGAAGTGCGTCCATTTTGAAAATATTTTACATCGATTCGGCCTTCGGAGTAATTCCTAAATACAAATTTTTAAAAACCTACCAATTTTACTTTCTCAGAATCGTTTAACTAAAGCTCCCAAAAAAACACCCTGTATAGTGTTTCTGAAACACTATAATGGCGCCAAGATTTTTGTTTACGGCGCATTTTAGCGCATGATGAAAGGTACGATGTAGTAGAAAAAACATGTTAAAAAACGTAACTTTTGAAAACGTTAAGTTAGCCCCCCCCCTTTTTAAAATTTTTTTATGGCTTAACCGTAATGGCGCTAGCTTTAATTCAAGTGGCGCAATTGAGCGCATAACCAAATGTATCAGGTGACCTAGTTACAAGGAACAAAATACGTACTGAGGAAGGGGGCTACGTTCACTTGGCCCCCCCCCAAATGTTTTTTCGGATTTCTAAAAAACGATAATGGCGCAAGAGTTATTATCGGTGGCGCATATGAGCGCATAACGAGCGCATTCATTTCAAAATAATACGACTATCAAATCTCTCAGTGGAGGGGCCAAGTTAACGGACGATCTCGCTTATCTTAAGAGATAGAAATTTAGTTAAATGAGGGCAAGTTACAAATTTTCATGATGAATAATAATCTGAAAAGAAATTAAAAATATCTTTAGTAGTTTTGAAAATATCCCAAAAAAAACGAAAATTTCTGATTTACGTGTTTAATTTTTTGGGGATAGTGCTTTGGAAAAACAAAACGTTCTTTTATTGTGAACAAAAGTTTGACAGTTTGATCCATCTGTCTGATTGTAGCGTTGGCAGGGAACTAGTTGTGTTGAGAAAATTCGATTTTCATGTTTTGCAAGAAAATTATAATTCAAATTAGAACAAAATGCATAAGAATAAATAATATTAGCACAAACGTAAAATGACACTAAATGAAATAAGTCAATCTTTTGTTCACAACAAAAGATTGAACAAAAGATTTACACAGCAGCTTACTTAAGCGCAAAAATGAAAATTGTAAATTGTAGGTAAAAAATCTGATACTATTAACCACCAAGTGTGTGATATATCGTTATAGCTTAAGCGCCAGAAAAAAAGCCGTAATCTCTTAAAATGTTAAAATCCGAAAACGGCGCTCCATAAGAAACACTATAATAAGAGTTGGCGCACGCATGATTACGATCATCCGTCCCCCCCCCTTTTTAAAATTTTTTTATGGCTTAACCGTAATGGCGCTAGCTTTAATTCAAGTGGCGCAATTGAGCGCATAACCAAATGTATCAGGTGACCTAGTTACAAGGAACAAAATACGTACTGAGGAAGGGGGCTACGTTCACTTGGCCCCCCCCCAAATGTTTTTTCGGATTTCTAAAAAACGATAATGGCGCAAGAGTTATTATCGGTGGCGCATATGAGCGCATAACGAGCGCATTCATTTCAAAATAATACGACTATCAAATCTCTCAGTGGAGGGGCCAAGTTAACGGACGATCTCGCTTATCTTAAGAGATAGAAATTTAGTTAAATGAGGGCAAGTTACAAATTTTCATGATGAATAATAATCTGAAAAGAAATTAAAAATATCTTTAGTAGTTTTGAAAATATCCCAAAAAAAACGAAAATTTCTGATTTACGTGTTTAATTTTTTGGGGATAGTGCTTTGGAAAAACAAAACGTTCTTTTATTGTGAACAAAAGTTTGACAGTTTGATCCATCTGTCTGATTGTAGCGTTGGCAGGGAACTAGTTGTGTTGAGAAAATTCGATTTTCATGTTTTGCAAGAAAATTATAATTCAAATTAGAACAAAATGCATAAGAATAAATAATATTAGCACAAACGTAAAATGACACTAAATGAAATAAGTCAATCTTTTGTTCACAACAAAAGATTGAACAAAAGATTTACACAGCACTCTTCGCAAAAATGAAAATTGTAAATTTAGGAAAAATCTGATACTAAACCACCATGTGTGATATATCGTTATAAAGAGAAAAAAAGCCGTAATCTCAAAATGTTAAAATCCAAAACGGCGCCCATAAGTTGGGTACCCATATGTAAAAATGGGTGCTCTATGAGCAGTATTTTCAACTTAGTATTTCATAAATCCTTTAGGGAGATTCAAACGTCTGACCATGAAGCAACACTTTAAAAACTTTTTCTTCACTTCATACCTACTAATGTAATGATCTTATTAATCAGACATGCCGTGACGTGAATCACATAGGGCTTATGGAATACTTGTTGGAAATCACTCACACGTTACGCATTTATTTGAAAAATTTTGTTCGGTTTCAGATACGATCAATTTTAGGAAACCGATACCTTGCAAGTTGAGAGGACTATTAGGATCATTTTAAGAAACATGCTTCAGTCTTGGATCTTCTGACATCAAAATTCATGCCAGAAAATTTCATCAAAATTAGGGGTTCGCTTTCAGGCCTTTAGTTTTAAGGTATTGTACTAGAAGGGGCTCTATGAGCGTTTCCAGTTTGGAGTTCATTCTAAGTTTAAAAACTATTATACCTAATCACTCTTGCGTGCTTTAAAACACACGAAAGTTGCTTTACTTCACAAACTGATCAGGTCAAATTTGGTTGAAGCTTTCATGCTTCCAAATCTGTTCCACTTTTAATCGCAGCATTGCTTTAAAGTTTTGAATGAATGCACCAAAATATAGAAGATTTAAATACCTTTGACATTTCCTTCATATATGCCAGCATTATGGATGCATTTAAGGCTCTATTCGTAAGTAACTTCCTATTCATCCATGGAAACAACTTTTTTCACTACTAGCGTCTGATGACATGATTATTAACCTTTTTTCC